AATATTTGTAAAAATAAATAAAAGTGGTGGTCCACTAACAAAAAAATGTTCATTATATTATGCCAGGTAACACAAAGGTGAAAACAATGACTACAATTGCAGTAACATTTTGCATCACTAACCCTGTGAGGTAGAATCATAGGCATAAAACCCACTTGACTACTGGAGATAAAAGGATCCTCTTAGCTACAGTCCAAGGGCTCTTAGCCTTTCATTTTACAGACAAGGGAACAAAGACTCAGAGAATTTAGGTGACTTGTCCAAGGACATAAGAATGGTGGTCACATTCAAATGCAAGCCTTTTGGCACATAATCTAATAATGTTTCCTCTATACCACTCTCATAAATTGATTTAGAACCTTTGTTGCTTTGTCAGACAATTGCATTATTTCGTTAGCTTTTTCATAAAGCCACTGTTCAGTTTGGGCTGAAGATAAAGTAAAGCTGCTGATTAGTCTGTTTTGTTTGAATGCATTTCCAAATGTAATGTATTTATGTAGTTGAGAAATAAAGGAAGAGATTACAGAGTTGCAATATTTTAAAATCTTAAATCAAATCTACAATTTCAAAAAAGATTTCTTAGGTAAAGTTTTTTTTATTTTTTTTTTAAGTAAGGAGCATAAGCAGATGAAACGTCAAGTCATAGTGAAGCACAGATTCCTCTTTAGCAGGAGCGACCCACGCTTCTCATATCCAGCTCCTCTCTTAACATAAGGGGAGTTTTATCATTCCTCAGACATGTGCCTCAGCTCCAAAACTAACTACTGAATTCCATGCTCCCCAAAAGGGAAACTAAAGTCACAGGCCAAACTTGAACACATTTCTTTTTTAGTCAAAGGCCAACTCTTTAGCTACTACAACAAACTGTCTCACTATTAATCTTAAAAACATTAGTTTTAAGAGAGAAAATATAAGACTTACACTTGGGTTCAAAAGCATCAACTTCAGAAGTACAAGAAGAAGACAAGTATGGCTAGATAGCAATTCATCTAAAAAATATCTAAGAGTGTTACTGGACAGTAAAAGTGTTGTTATGGCAGCCAAAAAGAAAAATGAAAAAAAAAGAAAGAAAGAAAGCAAAAGCTACCTTAGGCTTCATTAAGAGAGACTTGGTTTCCATGAGAAAGGGGGTGATAGCCCTATCATACTCTGCCATGATCACACAACATTTGGAGTACTGTATTTACTTCTAGATGTTGTTGTTGTTTATCCTTCATTCTCAAAGATGACCAATGACATCATGAAGGTGATATCTCGACTTTCTAGTGAATTGGATTTAACTGAGGCAGGGCTGTGCAAAGTCATCAGTCTCACTCTCTCCTCCAGAGTCATGAGGAGCCACAAGACATAAATCAAGATAACTAGCAATGGCCCAGGATGCAGTAGGAGACCTTGGTATTACTTCTGAGCACCACTATTTAAGAATGACAATGGAGATTCCAGAAGAAGGTTTTGAAATATCTCAAGTTCATATGTATCAGTTGAAGAAACTGAGTATGTCAGAAAAGAAGACTCAAGAAGGACACGCTAACAGAAGCACCATCATATGGAAGGATTCGACTAGTCCTGAAGTGACCCATAGACTAGAACTAGGAGCAATGAGTAAAAGTTACAAAAAGGCAAATTTAGGCTCTACATCCAGAAAAATATCAGAACAATGAGAGCTAGTGAAAATAGAATGTGCTGCCTTCAGAGGTAGCGGATCACCTTCGTTGAAATTCTTCAAACAAAAGTTGTTTGATCATTTGAAGGTTATGTTATAATAGGAGTTATTTTTTCAGCTATAGGTTGGATTCTACGGACTAGTCTGTGGTCTTTTTTGTCCTTTGCCTCCTTTTCAAACCCCCTAAAGAATGACAAGGAGAAAGCAAATGAAAGTAGTCCTGGCAAACAAGGGAAGAATCAACATCCAAATCTACTAGTCACCCCTGCTGGAATGCTCTGCCTCCTCACATCTGCCTTTTAGAATTCCTAGCTCCCTTCAAAAGTAAGCTCCTATTCCACTTCCTATGTGAGGCCTTTCCAGATATCCAGCTGCTATTACCTTCCTGTTAAAATTACTTTGTATAAAATCCTATTCATGTATATCATCACCACAACAGAGTAAGTTTCTTGAGCACAGGGCCTGTCTTTTTATCTCAGTAACCTATCAGTGCCTAGCACATAGCAGGTATTCAATAAATACTTGTTAATGGATGATACAAGCAGCTCCATCTGAGTACAAGAATTAGAAAAATGAGTAATCACACCAAGGTTGGAAAGGGTTACCTTACCAGAGAGACACTAAAAGCAGTGGAGTTTCAATCCTATTTGGCTAAGGCTGACTGTGATTCTACTGCTGTCAACCTACCTGCCCAAGGCACTCCCAAGTTAAGTGGTTTGCTTAGGGCAGTAGACACTTGCACCAGCTCCTAGAGCTGTTGTAGACCCTTAGCTCAGTTCTGCCAGGTGCTTTACACAACTGGTACCTAGAACTATGAAAGGGTGTTGAAGGTTGTCAGAAATCTTTTCCTCAGCTCCAACCCGGTTTGCAGGTGGCCCTCCCTCTGAGTTCCAGATCTGATAACTAGTGAAGGGAAGTTGTATTTTATATCCTTTTAATTCTTGAAATACACACACACACACACACATACACATTTCTGTAAGTATATATGTATATACATGCGTTTAATGTTCACTTATTAGTTTGAAGTTGGACTTAATGGCTCATGAACACCTGTTGCATTATTAAAAATAACAATAACAACAAAACCTTCAAACCCCTGGAGTAAGCTAAATTTAAGTATAACCTCAAATACCCAAAGTCAACCACAGCAAGGAATTGCCAAAGACAGGATTTGAATTAGTTCTTTTTGACTCTGAACTAGTCCCTAATGCTTGAAGCTTTTGTTAGGGAGAAGGGATACGTATTCAGATATACATCTGAATATATTTTCAGGATATGAATTCAGAAATTAACACGGGGTAAAAACAAAAGATATCAATAAAATAAAATAAAAATAAATATTTATTTATCAATATTTATCAATAAATAAAAATTGAATAACAATAAAATATAATAATAATAAAATGAAATAATAACCAAAAAAATGATGTCTTCTGAGTTTTCAGGATCAGCATCACATCAATAAAGTCTCATAATTTGAGAACTTGAAAAGGACCTTAGAGTAGCTCATCTAATTTCCTCATTTTGCAGATGAGAAGACCAGAACATAGGGAGCTGAAATGACTTGCTGATGTCACACTGCTAATTTGTGTCAAAAATAAAGACTAGAATCAAGGTCTCATGGCTTTTAGGTTAGTTGCCTTTTATGCCATGCTACAGCTGATGAATGGGGAAATGGAGTTTTTTTGTCTAATGTTATGAGCTACAAAATCATTGATTTAGAGCTGGAAGGAACCACTAAGGACATCAAGTCCAACTTCTTCCTTTAATAGATGAGGAAAAGGGTCCAGAGAAACAAAATAACTTGCTCACAGTCAATAATGTAGTTGGAATTGAAATTCAGGTCCCCTGACTCCAAAACCTGTGCTTTTCTTCTACTCTATGCTCACTACGTTAACATTTTGCATTTTTCTCTTACTCACACTTTGTTCACAGAGCTATGATTTTCCCCATACGTAGATATTCCCTCCAGACTCAGAGATCATAATCTCTCTTGGAACGTTCCCGTAACTGAAAAGTTCATCACCCTAAAGCCAATCTTATGAACTTTTCCACATAAATAGGCTGTCAGACATGCAGTACATCACCATGCCCGTACTTAGGAAAGGCATAATCCCTGGAAGTTCTATTCAGCGATTTGGTATTACGGGAATTGGTTCAGTCTACTTTATGGAAGTAGCCAGCTATAAACCATGATGGCCAGAATAGTGTTACTTTTATTAAAAAAAAATTAAGTTACAGAAAGAATAGAGTATTCACCATAGTCCACTGATTTACTACATATAAGTTTAAAATTATTTAAATTACCAAATGAATGAAGCACTTTTGCTTTATAATCACCCTTGCTTTCTGAATCCTAATCCATTAACTTCCCTCAGATCTCACCTCCTCTATAAAGTCTGGAGTGCAATGAAAACGTTCTTTTCCAGAATTATGACCTCTATACTTCTGGTTTCCATATGTTAAGATTCACATTTAAAACACACACACACACTGAAAAATTATGCAGGTTCCCTTGTTTTATTAGGACGCACCCTGAAGAATAAAGGTCATTTCTTATAAAGAACTGAAAGTGCACCCAGAACGCCAGGGGCCTAAATCAGAAATGGACCCCAACATTCTCCTGCTCAGGCAGCCTCAAAGCGCCGACCTCAACCAGCACCCCTAAATGCCCCACTGGCCCCCAACTCCACAGGGAAGTTCTCCTTTTAGTAAGCGTGGGCACCTCCACCAGGACATATGGAGCAAAGATGCACAAAGACCCCAGAGGACCAAGCTGTCCGCTGTGTCTGGATGTCTGCAAAACCCAAGAGCAGGATACTGAAGACTGGAAATGGGGGGTGGGGAGGAGGGAATCCTAGTAGCGCCCTCCGGGACACGAGGTCGGTGAAGAAGAGGGCGTGGGGGTGCACAGGGGGTGACCAGTGGGGTCGAGGTGTCCCAGGGCTACGGACTCCACCAGATCAACACTTGGCCGGAGGGACAGAGAAGGCAACTTCCTAACAACCTTGTGAAAGAGGGAGCGGGAGGATGCTTACATAACAGAGATGAGATGAGCATCTTAGCACAGTGCCTGGCATACCGTAGGCGCCTAATTAATGCTCGCTGACTCGGGGTCGAGCATGCCCTAGCCTTGCAGTCCGGTCCCGTCCAAAAGGATCACGCCCGGGAGGACAAGACCACCTGGGAAAGCGCAGGTAAGCGCCAATCACTTACCCTCCTGACCCTCCCCAGCCCTGGATCCAGGAGCAGCTGTCTCCTCCTTAGCGACTACGCGGGAGCGTCTGTGACAACCACCCGGAAGTCTTCGCAACCATTTCCGGGGTCACGCACGAGCAGGCGGGAAATCCTCTACTAGAATTCCAAAATTAGTGGACCTGCTTGTAGCGTCTTCTCTGCTTCTGTTTCAGTTTTCCGAAGTGTCGCTCTGGAAGCTCAGCTTTGATAGCCAGACTGGGAAAGGTAATGGGCGTCTCCTGAAAAGTATCTACCTAGTTTCTTCGAGCGGCATTTACGCCCCCTGGAGGTTCAGCGACCCCCTCTTTAGCTGCAGTGTAAGGAAGTTCCCTCCCTTCTCCCGGGAGTGGTAGTTCCCGTATTTCCATGCCTCCCCTCCCAGGCACTCCTGCGTTGGTAGGACCCAGCTCTAGGCTCCGCCCCCACGCTCCTGGGACGTGATGCTCCCGGTGGATGTTCCGGGATGCGCTGCCGCCGCCCCTCCCCCTCCGCGGGGACCCACGGCCCCTCCTCCTGGCGTTTGCGGGGCATCCTCCCGGGAACCTCCGGCCTGAGCGAGGACTTCGTCAGTCTGTCCAAGGCTCCCTGTCTTGGAAGGCTGCCCGGCCTTCAGGTGCTGAGACTGTACTGTTTCCAACCCCATTTTTTTCCTCTCCCGGGAGAAAGCAGTGTGAACCTTGCACTCCACGGGGTGCCGGAGCGTGTTGCTGGGGCGGGGTACCACACCCAGAGACCCTGGGTGCGTTGGTGCTCCGCCCGCATCCCCTAACCTACCTGTCCACGGCCGGGGCTGGGTCCGATCTCCCGGTGCGAGCTTCGTGCTGGCCAAAGTTTAGTTGGCTTCATGTACCTACCTTACTGTAGTGTCGGGCAGTCGGGGCTATTGAAAGTTAGCTTTGGAGAAAGTAAGTCTCCCTTACTGATGAATGGCCATCCCATAAAATAGTTTTATGTTTTTCTTAAAAAAAAAAAATTTGAAAGAAAAGCTTAAGCTCCTATTGCCAGACAGCTATGCGTGTTTCCTTGCTTTTTTTGGGGGGGGATAGATTTGACCCTTTTTTTTTCTTTCAAAAATGTGTGTATTTGGGAGGAATCCTTATCGATTTAGGGGCATTATTGGTTGTATCCAATCAGTAAACATTGAGCACCTGCCTTGTGCCGGGCACTGTGATAAGCACTAGGGATACAGTTAATAAAAATAAAGACAGTCCCTGCTTTCAAGGAGCTTACAGTCTAATGAGGGGAGACAGCACACAAAAGGATGGAGGAAAGTGGGGAGCAACATGGTGTACCCAGAGCAGGTGCATTTTGTTTCATGGAGTTGAAGCAGGCGTGCCACGGTGGATAGTTGCACAGCCATAGCTGGTTTTGGAGTTGAAAAGGACCTATCCACTCCGAGTGTCAGGCAACTTTATAAATCATTGACGAATTGCTTATCTGCATAATTAGAGGGAAAGGAATTTTCGCACCTGGAGTTCCCTACATGAATTAAAAAGTAGGTTCAGACAGCCTCCCCTTTCTCCCTCCAGTGCCCCCCCCCAAAAAAAGACCTAGTGAATATTTTGCTGTAGGACTATGGGGTGGGGGAGTGTTTGAAGAAAGTTTGATAACTTACATGAGGAACTCACAGTAGCTCCTCAGTACTTATTGGAGCCTTATTATAATAATATATACTTGTAATGTGCTAAGCAAGTAACCTTAGTTGATGTTTTCTGAATCCAGATATTCATATACTTTGTCAGATTTTCCAGGGCCTTCAGAAAACTGTATCTTGCTCTGTGTTTTATGGAGACAGCATCAAGCAGAATCATTCAAGAGTAAATCATTAACAAAGTTGGGGCTTTTTTTAGCAAACTAAAAATTTTTTCTCATGTTTTTGAATTACTTTCTATATCTTTCAGCTTAATGTTAATATCTTTTTAGTCTTTAAGGAAATATTGTTATTCTAAAGAGGTCTCTCTGGCAAATACGAAAGTATGAAAACTTGTAAAATCAATTATACTGTACTTTTTAAACTCAGCTATGATACAAACTTTTCCCCTTTGACATCAGGTTGTGAGTAAATGTTTGTTTTACTATATATGATAAAGGAGAAAACCTTTGTGAAACAGACTTGGCAGTGTTTTATAAAATTAAGCTAATTTTATTGAACATTCAGTCAACACATACACTGTGAAATAGTGATTTCTTTTAACATGAAAAAGAATGTCTGATGTTTGGGGATTTTACTCCTTTATTATTTTTCTGAAATTAACTGTAAGCAAATTGAAAACATTAGAAATCTTAGCTGTATAATAGTAGTGCTGACAAATGTTGAACTAAATAGTGACCCATTTACAAATAGATCCCATGTCATGCAAGCTGACTTTAAATAAGGTCATTTGAAAAATGATTACTGAATATAATTTAACTGTGTTACAAACTTATGCTGAATTCTCAATTCATTAAAAAACTATTAAGGGAACGGGATAGTGCCTTTTATTATTATTAATAATAATAATAACTATCAAGGATCAATTACTAATAAGAAGAAAAAAAATCAAGTCCCACAAGAAATTTCAAAAAACATATTACTTAATGGGTTTGGTTCCTCTTTACAGCAAATTAAATATGTGACATAGTAGAAAGAGCCTAGTCAGCAAGACAGGAGAACTGTTTGGGGTTGAATGAGAGAATATATGCCTAGAAAGAAGGGAAAGAGACCATCAAAAGGAAAAAAATAAGACAACAAAGCTTTCTCAGTGTTAACAAGCTCTTAACTTCCTTCTCCCTTCCCCAGCCTCCCCTAGCACAAACTACTCTAGTATTTGAAGTAGTCCCCTTTAACTCTACCTGAGTTAATCCTTATCCCCATTCCTGATTGCCTCTTTGCCAACATCTACATCTCAGGAGCCTCCGCTTTTTGAAACCCTCCCCACTTTGGTCTAACCCACTTTGTTGCCCTTATCACCCTCCTGCCTATCAGAATCTGTGCCGGTGCCCAACACAACTGGCTCCATGCTACACTAGTTCTGTATATTTATATGACCATAGATTTAGACCTGAAAACCTTCGATGCTTTCTGGTCCAACTCCCTTGTTTTACAGATGAAGAAACAAGCCTCTTTGACTACAGTCAAGTGACTTGCCCAAATTAAACCCAGACTCCAAATCCAGAATTCTACAGTCATCTAACCTACTACCAAAATTTACCTTCAGTTTTCGGCTTATAGGAAACTACTAAAATACTGAGATACCTCTTCGTAGGTTTTCAGAACATGAATACTACCTGAAGAACTTCATATATCAGTTGTTTGTGGTAATCATAACTTTTAACCTGAGTTCTATCAATTTGTTTTTAATATTTTGGTAACTCAATATAATTAGTTTCCTTTGTAATACTGTGTGTTTTACTTTATGTATTTAGAAATATTATTCTGAAGAGGCTTCATCAGACTGCCAAGAACACCTGCTTTAGATAATCAGGATATAGAACTGACAGGAATCCAAAGACATCCAAACTTTCTGAATGAAATTAAGGTCAGAACTGAGCTTGAGGGTTGAGATTCTGTAACTTTGCTATAAGGCCTAATTCTATAGTCGAAGTTGTGTATTAATTTATACCTCTACCACTTGTATATTTTACCTTGTAAAATCAATTTGAAATACTGCAGGGAGCTAACACTTTTTAAAAGATAGCAGTTCTAGGAGTTGAATATAATTTCTATACCAAATTGAGTATAATTATTAGAAATGGCTTTTTGAAATAAAAGTCTTCTCTTGCATTTATATTAATTACATTCACTACTTAGTATACACCCTTTCCTTAAGGAAAGTCAAGAAGATCATTCGCAGGAGATTTTACATCAAAACATTCTTACTAGAATCATGTGCATTAGGAAACTGAATTCTCAAATATAAATGTACAAATTAACTTTTAAGGTCACCTTGATCTCTTATGTTTCTTTGAAAAGCACATAGCTAATGTATAATACTGCATAAAACATTTTTGTGATGACAGTAATAACAGTGCTACAAGTTTTTTTTGAGCTTTGTACTTTTTAAAGTGCTTTTTCACTTAGGGGGCCACCAGCTTTCAAGAAAAAATATGAGAAGTCTGTTTTTGCCTTCTCTGTCTTCCTAACTGACCTTATGTGTGCCTTTCCCTTCTCTACCTGATAACTGTAGTCATTAAGTATAGGCACTTGACTCTGTGCACACTTCACCTGTGCTCTTGACCTTTCTCTGTAGTCCTGCTCAGCTAGTTGTCAAATCTTATTTAACAAGCTAAGTTACATAAAGACATGATCACCAGTAAGGATTTTTTTTGTTGTTTGTTACATTTTAACTAGTGAATCTGTTAATATTAGTTTCAGTATTCTAGCATCTATGAAGCATCTGCTATGTCCTAAGCACTGAAAACAAAAAGGCAAAAAAAAAAAAAACAGTCCTTGTTCTCAAGAAGCTCACAACTTTGTACAAACAAGCTATATATAGGATAAATTTGGGATAGTCTCAGAAGGAAGAGCCTAAAGACTTCTTGAAGAAAGTTGAACATTAGCTGAGACTTGAAAGAAGCCAGGAGGCAAAGATGAAGAAGGGAATTCCAGGCATAGGAGTGTTAAAATTAATTATCTGAAATCATCATAGATGATGATTTACTTTGCAAGGCCAAAATTTGCATATTAAATCAGGTCATCTGACTCCTCAGAGGTCAGAGTCAAGGAGTGATCTACAGAGCTGATTTTATTATAACAAAAGAGAGGAATTAAAAAAAAAAAGACAAACTTGTTTTGAATATAATTCAGTTGGACAAGGTAGGACACCTGACTAGTTAGCTTCTCCTAGCCTTTCCTAATCCTAGCCAGAAGTCCTTGCCAACCTACAGTTGGTGCCTTTTGTAAGCAGAAAGGTACTGTGAAAGAGAAACTTGTGGTCGGTGGTTAGTCACACCTTCCTTAGAAGATTCCATTACTCAAAACTAAAAATAAATCAAAGTAATCAATACTAATTGATTTCCTTTTCAGTTCCCCCCTTTGACCCAAAGAAAATCATTTCCTTATGGATCACTTGAACACTGAATCAGACTTCTTCAGGTGATCTGTGGTTTTAACAGTCTCCCTAAAAGGTCTGAGTGTGACTAAAGTTAGAGCAGTTTGCCCCATTTCCACTAACATATCTTTAGAAGTCTGCATAACAGTGGAAAGGGAAGCAGTAGCTTGTTCAAGTAAAGGGGATTCTTTAATC